GGTTCTCATTTGCGAGGATTTCATCGCTTTTGCGATAACAGGGGTCTCAAAAGCTGTCCGCTTTTGCGAACATCGCAATTGTGAAGATGGGTAAAGGTTGGGAATTTCGGGACTTAACTCATTTTACACTATTTTTGAACTCTAGACTCCATAGAAACGATTTTAGAGAGCAACTTATTTCCAAATTCATAGGTTAGTAACTTTAACTTGTTTTCAATTATTTTTTCATGAATTTTATCATCAAATCTAGTAATTTCAAAGTAGAAATTGGGAGTTTTGGGCAGAATTTAGAAATTTTATGAAATTGACCTCAAATTGAGCTCTAAATCACATATCCAAGTTNGATGACTTTTTGTTGACTTTTTTAATTATGTTAAAGATTGAGCTTTTTTCATTTGAGGGTAGATTCTAAAGTGTGTTTTGACTTGTTTGAACAATATTTGACTAGATTCGATTGGTTTAGAGGCTTGTTCTAAAGGAAAAGCCGTGTTGGATTATTGATTGTGTTCCGAAAAGAGGTAAGTCTCTTGGTTAACCTTGATTTGAGGGAAATAGGATAAAATCGAGTCTATTTGCTATGTGAACTATGTGTTGGGGGCGGCGTACATGCAAGGTAATGAGTGTATATGCGTTGGCCATGGGATAAGCATGCATGTAGATTTAGCCTTATTTGTGCCATATTATTTATGTATTATGTTTCCCATACTTAAGATAGATTGTTTAATTCTTTAATTACTCGTATTCATATTATTTCTTTTGTTGAGATTATTGTGATATTGGGTATTGAGATCGTGAAATTTGTTGATTGGTTGTTGGCACTAATTGTTGAAAGATTCTCTTATGACGAGTTACGTTTAAATACTATTGTTGATATTGAATTTACTTCCCACCTTTCTTGGTACTGTGTTGTTTGTGATTGTTTGGTAAGGAAGAGTGAAATGCACAAAGTGATTGTGTTGCTGTGCTTGTGAAGAAGGCTGATTGTGCACGAAGGGTGTTCCCTTGCCTTATTATTATATTGACATTATTGCTTGAGTGAACGTGAGGATAAAAAGTTGATATTATATTGATATTTTAGACAAGAGTGGGTTGCTCTAGTGGTAAGCACCTTCCACTTCCAACCAAGAGGTTATGAGTTCGAGTCACCCCAAGAGCAAGGTGGGGAGTTCTTTGAGGGAGGGAGCATAGGGTCTATGGGAAACAGCCTCTCTACCCCAGGGTAGGGGTAAGGTCTGCGTACACACTACCCTCCCCAGACCCCACTAGTGAGATTATACTGGGTTGTTGTTGTTGTTGTTGAACGTGAGGATAAAGCACGAAGGGTGATGGAGTGTAATTGCTTTAATATTATAATGTGAGAATAAGAGTAAAATCATGAAGGGTGATGCCATGCAACTGTTTTTGCATTATATGTGAGGATGAGAGTAAAAGCACGAAGGCTGATGCCGTGCAAATTTATTGATTTCATTGTGATTTACTTTGATATGCAAAATGTGGACTTGACTTTATGGTTTCGATATTTACTTTTGAAAGAGGTTTACTCTGTGTTACTTTACTATATGTTATTGTTTGTTGCCCCTTTACTCGTATAATTGTTATTCCTTTTATATGTCCCTATCCTGTTGATATTTTCGATTCTTTACCTATTATTTCGTTGTTATTTGATATATAATTGCACATATTTATTGTAGGTGTCTTGTCTTATACTCTACCTCGTAGGGGTTAGACTCAACACTTATTGAGTACATTGGGTCGGTTGTACTCATACTACACTTCTACACTTCTTTTGCATATCCGGATATTGGTACCAGTGGAGTCCCGAGAGGTGCGTAGTGGATACCAGACATTGATTCGAGTTAGAACTGCATTCTGTTCCCAAGCCTTAGTGTCACCTTCCTATTTCTATTGTGCTGTTTCCAATTTCCGGATAGTGTTGTATTTCTTTCAAAATATTGTACTTAGTATACTTTAGTAGCTCATGTAGTCGTGATTCCACATCTTGGGATGATTTGCGTAGTTGTTGGTTTTAGACGTATTATGTTTATCTTTGAATTGCTTTTACGCTATGTTAAATTCTTGTTATTAGTCATTTATTGCAGTTCTTTCGTATTTTACTGTTGTGTGTTAGCTTGCTTAGCAAACCGCGCTAGGCTCCATCATGACCCCGATTAGTTAGAATTTTAGGTCGTGTCAAAGATCCATAGCTATTTAGACTTAATTAGGGATACCAAACTATCATGTTAAAGTTGCGGAGTGAAATTAACAAAAACAATGTACGGGTTATGGTTTTTTGGAAGAAAAGGGAACTAAACAGTTATTTGTATGGTTGTCTATAATAGGTTACTACCGTGATACTGACATAGACATCAAGTATTAGTATGGGCAGCCCAGTGCACAAAGTATTCTGTATTCACATAGGGTCTAGGGAAAGGTTGTATACCAAGGATATAATGTAGATATCCTACCCTAAGTAGTGACTTTCTCGGCTCGAACCTATGCCTATAGGTAACACAGAGACAACTTTATCATTGGTCCAAGGCTTCCCTTCAACATAGACATTAAGGCAGATTTAAAATTTAAACTCAAAGATCTACCATTATTCATTACTTTTATACAACAATAACAATAACAACAACAACAACAACAACCAGTATAATCCCACTAGTGGGGTCTGGGGAGGGTAGTGTGTACAAAGACCTTACCCCCTACCCTGGGGTAGAGAGGCTGTTTCCGATAGACTCTCGGCTCCCTCCCTCCAAGAACTCCCACCTTGCTCTTGGGGTGACTCGAACTCACAACCTCTTGGTTGGAAGTGGATGGTGCTCACCACTAAAGCAATCCACTCTTGTCGATATTCATTACTTTTATATGTATAAAAAATAATCTAAAAGGGTAAAAAATAGCCGATTTAATAAATGCGCGAGTCATTAAACTGCTAAAGGTTACTTGGTTGTGCCAGGATAAACTAAACAATGAATCTCTCAGTCTCATATTTTCATGGGCTAATTTTGCTACCTGCCTACGTGGCTTAGTGGGAGAAGAGGATCAGATCATTCAATTGATTCTCTATAGAACCATAGAATCTAGGAGTCCTTTTTTTTTATAATAATAGGGCACAATGATCTCTGGGCCACCTAAACTTGCATCAGATTTTAAAGCCGATATTAAAACTCTCATTTTTCCCGACGTCATATTCTCAGACTATTTATTATTTGACAGTTGTTCATATTCTATTTTTTCTTCTTTTCCCTTCTTTTATTCTTCACCATAGCCCTGCCAGAAGAACCTCCCCCGCTCAGCCACCATTTCTAATGGTAAAAGTTCAAATCCGATCTATTCAAAGTGGGACTTCATAATGTCAAAAAAATCAGATTCGAAAAAATACCAAGAAGAAAGGAAAAAAATCAGAGTCCAAATTTGAAACCTAATGTCAAAATAAAAGAAAAATCACTACAACTTCAAGAAAAATTACTCTTCTCCTATTCAAAGCATTTTCTAACCTTTTGTAAAACTAGAAATAATGGGTATGATTGGATCCCATTAATGCAGTGAAAATCGCTGTCCCTTCTGTCTTTTTTTTTTGTGTTTGGCTGACAAAAATTATGCCCAAATTTATACTTCGATGTGATATATTTCAAGCTTGATTGTTGATAATTTTATTCTCTTTGTTAAAATTAGAAGGAGCATATACAAAAAAAAGAAATGGCAAAGAAAAAAATTAAACTACTTGACTTCATTATTGTGGTAGAATAGATGGGGGGAGAGGGAAAGAGGAGGTGGGAGTTTGGTAGGGAAGACGAGAGAGGTGGGAGGGAGGGGAAAAGAGAAGGGGAAAGGGAAAGGTCTTTTTTTTCTCATTTATATTTTATTCCGATTCTCATATTTTTTTAATATGAGAGGTTGTGAGTTCGAGCCACCCCAAGAACAAGATAGGGAATTCTTGGAGGGAGGGAGCCGGGGGTCTATCGGAAACAGCCTCTCTACCCTAGGGTCGGGGTAAGGTCTGCGTACACACTACCCTCCCCAGACCCCACTAGTGGGATTATACTGGGTTGTTGTTGTTGTTGTTGTTGTTGTTGTTGTCTCATATTTTTTTAATAAAAACAATACTATGCACGTGCCTTGGCAGCGTGATTTGTACACAATTTAGCCATGTCAGCTGTGCCACTTCCACGTAGGCATAATCAACGGTCAAATATGTTTATTAGTATCTATTCCGTCAAGTTGGAGTGTTCAAATGAAAAAAGTGCAAATTCATGTACTGGCTTTGCAAACGGCTACAAGTTTAAGTGGCCACAAGACCATTTGGCCAAGCTTCTTTTAAAGCAAAAGTGCTTTCTTTGGTTAAAAGTATTTTTTTTTAAAAATTAAGGTGTTTGACCAAACTTTTTAAAGAAAAAAAAGTGCTTTTGAGGAGAAGCATAAACAGTTTTTGAGAAGCAGAAAAAAGTAGTTTCTCTCGAAAAAATATTTTTTTGAAAAGCACTTTTGAGAAAAATACACTTATAAGCACTTTTTAAAAGCTTGACCAAACACTAATTGCTACTCAAAAGTACTTTTCAAGTTAAATAGCCAAACACAAACTGTTTCTCACTAAAAGTACTTTTTTTAAAAAGCAAAAAATACTTGTCAAAATAAGATTTTAAAAGCTTGGTCAAACATGCTATAAGACATCCTTAGTTTAGCAGATTTCTTTTCCAGAAATAGAATGAAATACCTGCTGAAAGACTCAATCAGCCTAACACGTACTGTATATTTAAAGTTCATAAAGAAAGAAAGCTGATTCGCCCTATATCTTCAGCCATTATAGTATGCCAATTGTGGTGAAAATTACTGTAGGAAATTGTTCCTTCTGAAAGGTAAAGTACTTATTTGATAAGAAAATCCAGATTGCACAATTGCAGCAAGTGGCAAAGGGTCAGAGCTCAAACTAATTGACCATATACAAGCCTCACATATTGGTGTTTGATTATACACAGCTAATGGTGCAAGTTATTGAAAAAATGCATGTCCACTTATGTAATAACTGAACCCACATTAAAATAAGAAATGTTGAACAAGTTACAGTCAAATTTGAGATTTTTCTTTGATTAACTCCCAAGTTTCTTCACATGTGATTGCTAATACACATTAAGTCTGAACATGTGCATAGTTTTCTAATTATAATTGTAATTCATTTTCCTCAAGTGCAATCCGATCCTAGTTAAATTTCCTAAGCTGCTTTCCTGAATCTACTTCACAAGCAAAGGAGTAGATTTATGCTTAGAAATAAAGCAAAATTGTAGTGGGGGCATCTTGGCCTAACCGGCGATATCTTCTGTGGTGAAAATCGTTGATCCCATCACCAATTTGCCATCAACAAAAGTTACTGAATTGTTTTTGCCTTCCTTGCAGTAAATATCGACAGTTGCATCTCTGCTAAATGCCACAGCAATATATACACTAAGGGTGTATGTAAATTAGTTCGTCTTCTTTGCATTCTCTTATACCTATTTCCATCACATTACGAGATGTTGAAGGCAATACATCACAACACTGTCTTCTTGGTGATAGCAACTGTATATGTCATCAGACCAAATGTTTCACAAATTAAACTTAAAAGGGTACTTAAAAGAGTAATTAATTAATAATCTCAACTTATATAGGCTAAAGTTGAATAATAAGCTCGAGAGAAATAGTACCTGTTTCTTGTCAAGGTCTAATTTTTGAGAAGTCACTCTGATTTCTTCTAGTTTTCTAGGTGAAACCATGTTGATTGTGCAATTCTCAGGGGTCTTCTTCTTATAAATGGTCTTGATTCCATCACTTCCAGAGGAGACATTGTCTAAGAAATAAACAAGTTGTCTTTTACATGGATCAGGTTCATATGGCCTTGTATCAAGGTCATAATGTCTAGCTAAATCACCCTTTTGCCATGGAAAATAGCTCTCTTGTACGCGCTGAGCATCCGGCAAAAAAACATGGTAGCCGAAAACTTGAACAGCGTATCCCCAAGAAACTGACACTGTCCATGTAAACCAACGATCGTAGCATACTGTTTGCTGCAAAATGCGGTGTGGATCGAACTTTGCAGCGTCGTACAAATGCTCCAGAGCTTTCATTTTTGTCATATTGGGGAATATGGCATCGTTCATCTCCATATGATGGAGGGATACCAAAGGTCTAATGGTATGTGCTGCTAACATTCCGAACATATTTCCTCTTACATCCAGCTGGTATTCCAAATTCCAGAAAAAAGAGCAAAACAAGTTTGTGTCATGTACATTTTAGCATCTAGTGCAAAGGAAGTTTTCAATCGCCTAAAGGCAATTTTTTGAGAGACAGAGCGTGATCTAAGCTTAACGAAAAGAGTTTAACTTATATGTAATGACAGAGTATATTTTTTGTTTATTCAATCAGGTCAACACCTATAGTAGCAGGTAACTATTTATAACAGATATAACATGTTAACATAGACATAGAGTAAATGACATGTTATAACCGCTTAAATATTACACAAGATATAAAATTACGCGCCTAAGCTCTTTACAGTATCGGCATGGAAAATATTCACACAATTAAATCACTTATAGCATAATTTTATAATAAGTATTATTCCAATTGGTAACTGGTAACCTTGTAAAGATAGTAACTTCTTTGCTATCACAAGTTTTCTACACAAATAGTATAGAATATCTTTATATTGTCAATTATATTTACACAATATTAGCTTCTATGAATTTAGCCCCAGTAAAAATATTACTCCCACCGTCCCATAAAATGTTTGACTGGACATGCATGAAGTTTAAAAAAAAATGAAAGAAACACTTTTGAAATTTATGGTCCAAAATAAGCTATAGAAATATATATAGCTGTAAATCATTACATTAAGCATTAAACAAAAATTTAAAGTTAAATAGTTACTAAATAAATAAATGTATCGTTCTATTTTAGGCCGACTAAAAAAGAAATGTCACATACCTGGTGGAAACCGGGCTCATGTGTTAAGCCAACACCAAGCTCTGCCAAACAGGAATAAATCCTAGCATCACTCCCAAAAAGGTGAGGGTACCTTTCTATGCATGCATCAAAGACTTTACCAAGAACTTTAGCCAAAGGATAGCTTATAGCAATGCCAGCTCCACCAAATGCCATTTCATAGGAAAAAGCCTTGTTCATTAGAAAATGTTCAGAATTCGACCCTATGTAGTACCAAAGCCCATGGTCATATTTAGAAAGTGTTTTCACCAAATTGTCTGGAAAAAAAACAGTGTCATCATCCCCAAAAACATACCACCGCACATTTGAATGATTTAATGCCACCGTTTCAGTCACAACTCGTGCCACACGAATTGCTGATGGTGTTCCCCCTCTAAACGTATATTTAAATCTTGATGTGTCCCCAGAAATGCAAATCGGAGGTAAAGAATCATTTTCTGTAGTATTATTTGTGTAATTCGATGGCATTTTTTCAAGAAAAACACAACCCCTCATTTTTGAACCTGCCTTCCACCACATTTTAACTAATTCTTTCCTAGTAGACCATGCTTTCTCGTTAGATGCAATTCCAAATACAATATGTTCAAGATTTGTATCTGATAATAATGTTGAATCATTTTGAAGCGAAACTGAAGTGTGGAGTAATTTGGTGTTAGGGCCATTAAAGTTGAAAAAGAAAAGGTAGATTATACAAACAAAAGAGGTGATCAAGATTATATTTTTGACCCCATTGGAGCAATATTGGGTTTTGTTGTTTGGTAATTTAAAAGACTGCATTTTTTTTCTGAGGGAAAATGGAGGAAGGAAAAAAGAGAGAGAGAGGTTTGTATTGGATTTAGTATTATCGGTGTTATGAAGAGAGGTGGCAGAGTTTGGAGTTAGAGGCCATTCTTAAGACCGGAAACCTCGCCCAAAGCAGAGTATGGAATTTTGACTTTTCTTTTGGCTTTTAAAAATCAGTTGTAGCTACACGTGTTATATGGACTACAAGTTCAACCAATTATGTAATTAAGCAGTAAAGAACAGAATAGAGTATATATGATGTAATTAGTAGAATGTAACGTTTAGTTATCATCATCTGTATATTATTTTTCGAATAGAATAAGAGGTGTCCAAGCGGTGGATCTGAGGGAAGGAAGCTGACGTAAAAACTTACTGCAATTGCAAGATGAGAATTGTAAATAATAAATGACTAATTAAGAAAGTCTGTGCATGAATTAAAGATTAAGAAAAGCTGTATTGGTGTGTTTTAATTAAGGACGGCATAGTTAGATGATAAATCACGTAAAGGTATTAGGGATGTACCTTAATATTCTGAAAAGGTTGTATGCGTGCCCCTTTCCCGCTACTAATTTTGTTTATATCGGTTAGTTTGATTACAAATATAAATGGATTATAATTTCAGAACAAAATGAGAATTATTTTATTTTTACTGAATGTTTTATTCCGGTAAAAGTAATTCCGAAATTTTATATCATTGTAATGTTATTTTTATACCACACTTTAAGTGAGATAACAATCTCGAAATTATTAAGTCCGTGTTAAAAATAATAAAAATGTTCAAAAGCTTTTCTCCCAAAGTCTTTTAAGAAAGCCAAGGTTAAAATTGAAAATAAATGTTTATCTAGTATAAACTTTAAAACCAAGCAAAAGTCTTACATCATTACCCCAAACGCCCATTTTTAGTCGGGATAAACTAAATATCTACTAATAAAAGTATATTTAAAAAATAATCACGTCATTATTTATTCTCCATAATATAATGCCTACATTATAATCTCGATATACCTTTTTTTAACCAAACGATACCTAAGGATGTGGTTGGTACGATTTTTCAAAAAAATACTTTTTTGAAAAATACAAAATTATTTTCTAAAAAAAACTTCTAAAAGAAATACTTTCAGTGTTTTGTTGGAAAGTTGAAAATATGTTCTAAAATATATATTTAATTTATCAAAATTTATTAAAGATTGATGATAAATCATTTTAGCAAATCAGATAGCATTTCTCATGAAACTTTTGTATATTAGAAATTGATAATAGTGCCTAAGAACTAATTAAAGTAGTGACAGGAAGTTAAGAGTTTTAAGATAATTTTGAAGGAAATAACTTTCGCCAAAAAGGAGGGAAGTCATTTTCTCCTTTTATTGGAAATAAATTTTCTATGAAGAGTATTTTCTAGCAACACTAGAAAATGACTTATTTTGTGATAAACATAAGGGCCATAGCTGGTGATCCAAACTCTCTCTCTTTCGTCGATAAAACTTATTATATTCCTTTCAAGGCCGTAAATGCTTGAATAGTTCAAGTTTCGAAATGACGCCTTATTCTTTTATTACTTACTTTATTTTTTTTCCTCCTCATGGTAATTGGAACTCCTAGCATTTGGTTATTGCTTTTGTTTATCCGAAAAACAGATATAGTTGAATTTATACGTAGTTCTAAGGATACGTGGTATAACTTGGTACAAATCGAGAAAAAAATAAGTAAATGAATATCGAAATTAGCTGTAAAAGAAATGAATGCAAATCGAATGAATTAGTTAGCCTAAGCATTCAAGTTTTATCACCCTCAAATTGAATGGAGAGTGATTGATTGAAGAACAATATGACTCGATATCAAAGCCCAAAAAGGATAGTATTTGCTTGATGTTCTATAAATCTTAATGAATCTGATGCCCTTCTACAAATGATAAACACCCTTAATATAGTGGCGAAATCCTATTTTGGATATAATTAAAAATACATAGTAGGAATCATATGATAAATTAATTAATTAGTCTCTCCTTGATTTGCGCCGAGATTCCCCCCNAATCTTGATGGATCTCTAGGTCTTGAGCTCGGTCTTGGCCGATCTCGATATTGATCGGCCTCTGGGTCTCGAGGTAGGTCTTGGCCGATCTCAATATTGATCGGTCTCTAGGGCTCGAGCTCGACAACCTAACTTCGCATCATGGCTCGATATTACAATGACGAACCTCAGACCATCATGTTTCAATCTCTATTAGTCATGCGAAAGACAAACTCGATTTTGATCGTATACAGATAGTCCCCTCGTTTCTCGAAAAGAAGATGACGAGAAACGATATGAATTTCCGAACTTGACTTGGTGGATGATGATATCAACGACGAGCCCGATTATGACGTATGTAGCAAACATCCCGTCGGTCCAGTTACCCAGGCATTAAATGTTTGTCAGTCGTTGGTCGGCCACTACCGGTTCTGAACCGTCATCACCAGGCTATAAATATTCACACTTTCATCCTCATCCAAACTTTTCACTCAAAAACTTTTTCTCTACTCTTGCATCTTATTCAAAGAATTCCTTTGCTTCATACATTTTACATCGCATACAGCCCTAATTCTCGTTCCCTTTGTTCATTAATGTCGAAAACCTCCAAAATAGTGCCGCAAAAAGAGGCCGCTACTTCATCATGACTCGCCAGCAGCGAAGATGCGGCGAAGCCTCGCTCTGAGGAATTTGTTCTGGTAGGGTGCTCAACTATCATTGATTTTAAGGTTGGAAAACCTTCTTCGGTACCGGGCCGATGTGAGCCAATCTCGAGGTACTAGTGTGCAATCACCAAAAAAATTTTGATAAAGAAAAACATGAATGCAACTGAGGCGACAAGCACGTGGAAGTTCCATCGCATGAAGAATCAATTACTACCTACGTGGAAGGGTTCTTAAGTGTTTATACTTATCCTTTCACGTTGGGTCCATTAGACCCTGTCATCGTCGCCTTTTGCAAGAGATACGACGTGACCCTTGACCAAATCCACCCTTCTTTTTGGAGAATAGTAATTCTTCTCAAGCAAAATCGAGGGGTGTCTTTTCACCCTTGATCACCTTGTGCGCCTTTATAGTCCCCGACTTTATCGAGGAGGGTTAATTAAGCTTGCTCGATGATCCACCAAAGCGCCGTTCTCGAGTATAGACGAGACTCGTGATCGAGGCTGGATGGGCCGATTTGTTCGAATCAAAACCTCGGATCTGATCCCTGCCGATGACATGCCATTTCTTGAGAAATGGAATATAAACCGTGAGTACTTATTTCCCTTCGAGCGTTTTAATTTGTGACTGCCTTTCATTTTCTTGATCCACTTTTTCTTTCTTGTTACAGATGTGACTCGGATGCTGGAACCGATTTCGGAACTTAAATGATGGGTTGAAGGTCTGGTGCTGTAGAGACCGTACCCCGAGTGCGCTTGGGTGGAACTATCAAAGGGTCGATGGGAGGCCCGCAATCATTGTAAATCTCTTTCTTAGTTTGTTTGTCGTTTGATATTCTTCATTTGCTTATCCCCCTTTTTTCCCCCTTCATTTGATGTCTCTCGAACACAAAGCAAAAAACAGCCCTTTGGCTTTTGTAAGAAGAGTGTTTATGGCTTTCTCCCCTTTTCGGCTTGAAAATGTTTTTTATCATTTGTATTTGCAAAACTTGTAATGCCTTAGCATAAAAATAAGGAATTGTTTGAGAGTTCGAATAATTTTGTACTCATTAGAGTTTTCGAGGCTTGATATTATCGAAAGCTTTTATGATTTTGCCGGAGGTAGCCTTTTTAACCGGTTTATGAAAATATTCGAAGGCCTTTTTTGTTACGGAATTCGGATGTCTCCGACCCATGTTAATTCGACCGTAGACTCTTTAGTTCAGGATTTGCCCCTTAGGCTTATTTTCCCGTTTTACTTCGAGCTTGCCCGAAGTGTCAGTCCTCGAGTGGGGGTAATCATCCGAACTCTGGTCATAGTTGGCCCTTAAGCCTGTTTACATAATAGATATCAGTAAAGAAAAATACTTCTCTTTATAAATGATTATACATGCGTACATGTTCTGTGCCAGGGCTCGAGCAAACTATGCGGGCATGGTCCGTTTGACCGTTTGGCCCTTACAATTTTTTTCTATCGAGACCCTGCTGCCATGAAGTAACTTTCTCGCATCAAAGTTGATATTCAATGGCAATACCCCCCCAGTATTTGAGGTTAATTGCAAAGAGGCCTCAGATATTGTTGAATTTTTCTAAGTTAGCACAATCAGTGGTTGCCTCCTTAAAAACCTCACCGGAAAACCTCTTTGGGACAAAACCGGTCTAAGAAAAAAAGAGTACAACGCGTGCTTTCAGACCTAAAGACTTCTTGTCGAAGAATCCATCGATGTTTCTGGTCGAATACCTGCAAGGGTTAGTTTAAAATATAAATAAAAATGGGAGGGGCCGTACCTTAGCGGTAGTATCATTTTAGGTGCGATACGTTCCAATTGCTTGGCAGTTGTTTGCTGTTTATCATGCCGAGCTTGTAGGATCCTTTTTCGATGATTTTGAGAACCTGATACGGTCCTTCCCAGTTCGGACCGAGTTTTCCTTCATTCGGATTGACTTTCTTAGCACCAAGTCCCCGATGTTAAAATGTCAAAGATTGGTTCTTCGATTGTAGTACCTTTCGATCCGCTGTTTTTGGGTGGCTAATCGGATGAAAGCGGCTTCGCGTCTTTCGTCCAACAATTCTAGGCTCGTATTCATGACCTCGTTATTCGACTCCTCTGTTGCATATAGAAACCTGATGCTAGGTTCTCCGACCTCTACCGGGATCAGAGCTTCGGTGCCATAAACCAACGAGAACGGTGTTGCTTCGGTACTGGATTTTGATGTTATGCGGTATGCCCATAGAACCTCGGGTAGTATTTCTCTCCATTTTCCTTTGGGCTCGGCCAATCTCTTCTTAAGATTTTGGATGATGGTTTTATTGGGCGATTCGGCTTGTCTGTTCCCGCTGGGATGATAAGGTGTTGATAGGATCCTTTTGATCTTGTGATCCTTGAGAAATTTAGTTACTTTGTTGCCGA